AGAGCATTATTTTAGTCCCACAATAATTCCATGAAATATTTTTAAAAAATAAAGTAACAGTTTAACCTTTATACTCAATTCATACAAGCCTAACTCTTCACTGTTCCAACTGACTTGTATTAAAACGCTACTTTAAACCAGGCCTAGGATACACTAATATAATCCCAGCACTTAGAAGATTGATGTAGGACTGCTGCTAGTTCAAAGCCAGCCTGGGCTACACAAATTCAAGGGCAGACTGTGCTACAAAGGGAGATTTAGTGTCAAAAGACCTCTCCCCCAAAAAGCTACTTTACTTCCCAAATTTTTACACCTTTTTTAGATTCTGATAATTTATTGTTATATGGTAATGACTGATTATCTTTTTCTGCTTCTAAATAATTACCATTGGCAAAACCACACAATGATTTTTACCAGGAATAATTTTGATACCTCTATTGAAACCACTGTGGACACCTGGCACTATCTGGAGACATATATGGTGATCACACTGTGTAATACTGCTACTAGCATGTGTAGGAAAAGGCTAGGGATGCTGATAGCTTATATAACCAGTTCCAAATGCCAACAGTACCAAAACTAAGAAATTGGTATGAATGACAATGAAACCTCTTAGGGTCAGACTGTCTTGGTTTAAAGCCAACTCTTACTGCTTACTGGCTATGTGAGTGACACTGGACAAGTTGAGTTCTATCCCTCAGTTTCCTCATCTCATGCTGGGGGATAGAGTACTTAACTAAGAGAGGCAATGAGGATTAAGTACAAATACATGCTATTTTTTTTTTAAAGTAGCAAATGATTCAAATAAAAGCATTACATGCAGCCAGCTACTCCTAGTTTGTTCTCCTTTTCAGTATTAACACTGTACTAACATCTTCCACCTTCTACATGCGATCATCAATGAAGTCACAAATGTAATCACATATCTAATGTCATTTCCTATAGTTATGCTTTGCTACTTTATATTTTGGGTTTACACTTTGGTGTTCTAATAAATATAATTTGGGGGGGCCAGGGAGATGGCTCAGGGGAGATGGTTCAGTGGAATAAGCATTTCCCTGGCAAGTGCAAGGGTCTGAGTTCAATCCCCAGTTCCGCAAAAAAAAAAAAAAAAAAAAAAAAGAAAGAAAGCAATATAATTCACTCTCTTTTGAAAAAGATAGTGCAGAGAATATAGTTTAGTAGCATTAGCATCTTCCTGGGAAGCACAAGGGTCTGAGTTTGATTCCTGCTATCACCAAAAAATATATATGTTACAAATAGTCTCCTCAGGGGTTTTTAAGATGTACTGTAAAATGTTAAAATTGTCTTTTTACTACCATCAAATCTGTAAGTTATATTTTTTTGGCTCCACGGCTTATGGAGCTGGGGATCAAACCACAGTCCCCTGAACATGAATGCATTTGCCCAAGCGGCACTTTAAACAACTGAGCTATCCAGCAAGCCTCCACAGAGTTAACATGCCAAGGAAGCTGACGTGATGTAGTCTGATCTCAGCTTCCCAAACAAAAAACTAAATACAGAAACTAGGATTTAACCATTAACTTGATCATAAAATAGTTAAGCAGGATTTCCCTCCCTTTATTTTGCATTCTATCCAGGGTATTTGGTGGAAAATGGTCCCAAAATATTATCCACACTGACAAATTTTTTTATACAAAATAGCAGATTCTCTTCTCCTTAGAAGTCACTAATTATGAAGTAAAAGTTTTCTTCACTTTGTTAATGAACATATAATCCTTTTTTACATGTAATCTCTAAAACATCTCTCTAATTAACAAAACTCATTACCTTGACACTATGTTGAATATTTTACTATTGTTTTTCTGGAGATAGAGTTTCACTACATACTGCAAACTGGCCTTGAACTTGCTTATGGAGCCCTAGGTGCCCTTGAATTCATGACAATCCTCCAGTCCTAGCCAACTGAGTGCTAAGATTATGGGGGTATACCACTACCATGCTGGCTATTATTTTATTATTAACTTTCGTTTTTCTTTTTTTTTAAAGTAAACTTGATTATTATTTTTTTAAATTGTACTTGTTTAATTTTTTTGTAGCAAGCTCAGCCCACCCTGGGAGTGAGGCTGGCATGGCAATGTGCTGCTGGGGATCAAACTGCAGTCCCTTGGCTTGCGAAAGCTTGCCTAAGCAGGTGCTTCAGACCACTGAGCTACCCCACCAGCCCTGTTAACTTTCATTTTTCAAATTTTCTTCACGGTGCATGCAATCTTTGCATAGGCAATGGGAACATGGCTGTTACTTTAAAAATCTCATTTTTGGGTACAGAGAAAATAGTCTAACATAATGTGAGATTCATTTTCCACTTCTAAGGAAGAACTTTCTCTACCTTTATATTAAAAGATATGGATACAAAATATTTAAAACAAAGAAACATTCAGTAAAATAGAGTAAGAAATAGCCAAAACTGATCGTTCCATTTACAAAATAAAATCTGTTATTTAGAATTATGACTAGTTTTACAAGTAAGGTCAATACAAGAGTCAATAAACATTTATTTAAATCCTGGTATTACTGTATAACTCAAAAGTTTTCAAGTCCTTAAAAAATACAATTTAAGAATTTAACAAGTTCAACTAATATGTTATTCTATTACTGTATCAAAATTAAAATGTACATGCGTTTTTTAGAAAGTATACAGATTTTACTCACATTTGATTCTTTGCTGCTTGCCTCTGAGCTTTTCTTTCTTTCCTTTTCTGATCTGGTGGCTTAGCAAAAACAATTTCAATATTTTCTCCTTCCAAGTCTTTGCCATTCATTTCTTCCATAGCCTTAAAAAAAGAGTTACCATAGTAAAAATAATCTTTCAGAACTGATTCATTTATTGTAACTAGATGATAGCCTCACTGAGACAAAACAGGACTGATTAAGCTTTATGTAGATTCAGCTCTTTAACAAATTAACTTTAAAAATTCTCTAACTCAAAAGGGCCACTGAAAGTTTGATTGAGTCCATTTAATAACCTCTATATTTCCTCTAATATTTAAAACACACTGGGGGAAAGGGGAGATGGCTCAGTAGAACAAGCGCTTCCCTGTCAAGTGCAAGGGCCTTAGCTCAATCCCTGGTACCACCAAAAAAATAAAAATAAAAATTTAAAACACTGGTATTATGATAAAAATTATTAGATGCCCATGTTAATTCCACCACTTATTTACCTTGACAGCACCATCTCGTTCATCAAAATGAATGAAAGCATAATCTTTTAGTTTCTTCACTCGTTCCAATTTCCCAAACTGACTAAATGCCTTTTCTAAAATCTCTTCTGTTACAGTATTGGCAAGGTTGCGTACAAACAACACTTTTACCTGGAAAAAAAAAAAAAAAAAAAAAAATCCCCTGTACATTTTCCAGAGTTCACTTTTTCCAACCCCAACCTGCAAAGTCAAACTTGAATCACTATCATTATAAGAATTACAAGAAATCTTTCCATTCCTTTGGCTAAATACCAAGGAAAGACTACCGATCAGGTCAGAGATCTGAAATAGGCTGGGGCAGTAGTGTACACCTATAACCCTAACTCTCAGGAAGCTAAGGCGGGAGGGTCACTCTGAGTCTGAAACCAACCTGAGCTACATACTGAATTTAAGCCAGCCTGACAGCATGAACCACATAGTAAGATGCTGTCACAAAATAAAAATGAACCCACAAAATGGTTTACCAAAGAACACATACAATGGCAAAGCAGGTTATGACAAAAATTTTCAGTATCATTTATCATTAACAAGTTAAAATAAAGTGAGATAATAGTACACACCTATTCGAAGAGCTAAAAGCTGAAATACACACTAAATGTGGATAAGAATGCAAAGCAACAGAAACTTTATTCATGTCAGAATGTGAGCAAAATGGTACAGCATCTTTCCAAGTTTGGCACCTTCTTAGAAAACTAAACACATTCCTGCTATACAATCCAGCAATCTCACTCCTAGTACTTTTTCAAAGAAATAAAAAACTTTCATTCACACAAAACTCGCACACAGATGTAACAGCCTTTATTCATAATCACCAAATACTGGAAGTAACCAAGATATGCTTCAGTATTATGAACTGGTACAGAATAAAATTTTCAACACTGTAAAAAATTAATCAGAGCTGGGTGTGGTGGTACTCACCTGTAATCTCAGCACTCCACAGCCTAAGTCAAAAGAATCACTGACTAAGAGGCCAGCCTATACAGTGAGTTCAAGACCAGTCTGAAATACATGGGACCCTATCTCAAACAAATGAATCATAAAAACACATTGAGAGGGCTGGCCAAATGGTTCAGCGGGTTAAAGATAAAAGAAGCCTGCCTTGCAAGCCCCACTCCTGGGGCATGCTGAGAGGGCAACTGAGACTGGGCATGGTGGTGCACACCTGTAAGCCCAGCTCTTGTGAGGCTGTAAACAGGTGGATCACTACAAGCAAGTCTGATCTAGGAGTGAGACCCTGAACACACACCCTGTAGACTCTTCCCAAAAAAAAAAAAAAAAAAAAAAAAAACCCACACTGAGGACCCTTAATGCCTATTGCTACATGGAAAAAAAAAAATTCTGAAAAGGCAAAATTATGAAGACACTTTTTAAAATGTTAGTATTGCTAGAGACTGGGAGGTAAGAATAAACAGAAGAACCTGGAAGCTCTCCTCTTACCCAAGTTTCGTTTCTAGGAAATTGTTCTGCCCTGCCACATGTTTCTCTAAAAGGTCCAGAAGCTAAGAAGCCAAACCACCATGAACTTTTAAACCAAGAAGCAAACTAACTTTAAAGAGGAAAGAGCTGATCATCTCACACATCTCATTATATATTTGTCAAAAACTCGTAAGAGTGCCCCAAAAGTAAAGTCAATTCAAACTACTAGCTTCTGGGTGCTCAATGCTGATTCATCAATTTTAACAAATATACTACCGACAATGCGCAACACTGACATGTTTGATTTAGATATAAATGCTGTTCTGATATTCTACATAAAAAGAAAAATGGAGACTACATGTTTAGTACTTTTTAAAATATTATTATGCAATTAAAGTTATTTCATAACAATGTGAATGTCATGCCCCCTACCACTGTTGAATGTTTAACACCCAAAGTGATCAAAATTAATTAAAACCAGGCTTTTTAAATCTTAAGAGAAAGTGTTTAAAATATCGTCAAGTGGCTAGTGAGATGTTTCTATGACAGACCATCACATGCTTACTATACATGAGGTTTCATCAACACATTTGTAACTCTGAAAGTTTCTCAAAACAAATTAACTTTTGTCTAGAAACATTACCCCTTGTTCCTAAAATATATGAATAATAGCATTTCAACCTAAATGTAACCCTGTAAGTGTTACAGGCCAGAGGGAACAGAGAATCCCAAATATCCTATCCTCCAAGACCATCATCCTTCAATAATATGCATTTTTCCAAGTTCACCCTACCATAGATGCAAGAGTACCTATATTTGACACCTAGTATCTATTAAGAGATCCTTAAAAGACAAAGTATACACTAACTTAATTGCAAATGGCAGCGGTTAATAGTAAATTGTTAAATCACAATTCTGCTGTAGTCAATATAGTTCACTATTTTTAGGAATAGACTTTTAACACAGAAACCATGCCAACTAATGGCACCACTGCGGAAAACCTGAATTTCTCTTAGAATCTATACATTTTGGAAGTGAATTATTGCCAAAGCATGAGAGTTAACTACTTCACCATGACATTATAATGGCTAAGTGTCCTTTAACACATCACTTTCCATGACACATCCCTAATTAAGAACACTTATCTCACCTTCAGAAATGATTAAAGACAATGTACACAATTTACTTTATAAATTATTTTTCCTGCACCCTTCCATCAATTCCTCAAATGTTTTTTTTAACTTGACTATCATTACCTTCGCCATAACTTCAGGATCAGGATCTTCTATAGGGTCGGCCCATTCAACTGTTCCAACATTTCCCCAGACCTTGACTTTACCACTCATTAGCCTACGCCTTGCCTGGGCAGCTGTTTTGTGATCTTCATATTCAAGAAAACAAAAGCCTCTGTTTTTTTTCTTGTCATCCGGTTGGTGGTATAAAATGACATCGGTAAGACCCTCTGAAAGTAAGCAACCATTCCAGGGAATTACATAAAAAAACTAGCAGTATAAGTAGATCAAAAGATTTGTTTTTCTAAGGTCTACTTAAATATCATTAAGAAAAAATAATTGTTTCTTACACAGCCATCTCCCCAAGGGACTATTTTTTAAAAGTTCATATTATTTTCCTAATCTACCCTTTCCAAGTTTTCCCAACCCAGAAATCCCCATGAGAAAAAAAATGTTTTTTAAGAATCCCAAGGACTATCTCTGCTTCCCCTAATTATACAAACAGGCAAATAAAAATCTTTACATAATTGTTTGAAGAAATGCCAGCACAGGTCAAAAATGGTTATTTATTACCATGAAAACATTAATTCTCTTTAATAGTAATTTTCTGCCCCTAGGTATCATTGTCTCTTTTTCAAAGGAAAAAAAAATTACTAAGAATTTTAAATATTCCTAAAGACTAAAAGACTGATAGGGGCCGGGGAGATGGCTCAGTGGAATAAGCGCTTCCCTGGCAAGCGTAAGGGCCTGAGTTCAATCCCTGGTTCCGCCAAAAAAAAAAAAAAAGACTGATAAATCACTGCACAGACACAATGTTTTACAGTACAACTAGCCTGTCATTCGGAAAGGATTATAAAACATTACAATGCACAGAAATTATATCACATTATCAATATATAATGTCTGCTTATGGAAAGAATATTCATATTCATAACTTAGAAATTTTTCAATCATTCATATAGCTCTACTAAGATCAGCTAACATCTAGAAAAATACACAAAAGCATACAACTTCAAAATTAAGGAAAGCACAACGATGATTTTGGAGAGTAAGTTCAAATTCTGGCTGCATGGGGCCAGGGAGGTAGCTCAGTAGAATAAGCGCTTCTCTGGCAAGCACGGGGGCTTGAGTTCAATCCCAGGTATCGCAAAAAAAAAAATCTGGCTATATTAATTACCAAGATACTTTAGATAAATGAGTAACTTTTAACAAGTCATTGCCTCTAACTTTCTCCCTCTGTCCTTTTTTTCCTTATCCAAAAGATGAGAATACCTACCTCACAAAGTTATAAAAGATTCAATGAGTCAACAAATGCAGTGCATAGAATAAGGTGCACCTTCTTCAAAATAAATCCAACTTACCCGTTACTTTGCTAAATTCTTCAAGAATCTGTTCCTTAGTTTTACTCTTAGGAATAGAGCCCACAAAAAGCCTATTGTTGGCAACTGAGATGCAGACACCAATGTGTTTTCCAGAACGAATTTCATGATTATTATACTGAAAGGAAGGGAAAAAAAGTATGCCATGTTTTAAAATCACTTATGTCAATTAGGAATATTTATTATAGAATATCCCAAGATTCAAGAAAACAATACTTAATTAAAATTTCTAGTTTATCAAATATTAAGCTTTCCTTTTAATCAATATATAAACTTTCCATTTCTACTTCATTTGTATCAAAGAGCAATTAATTTTTATAGGCTTCTCGTATTTAAATAGAGATCCTTACTACTCTAAATTCAATGCTGTGTTTTTCCCCAGTTCATCTTCTTCAAACATAACAAAGTCATCAACAGATCATGAGAAACATACAGAACTATTAACTATAGTAGAAAGTAAAACTTTGTTTCCTCGTTTTGAGACAAGGTCTTCTTTCCTGTGCAGTCTAGCCTTGAACTCACTATACAGCCTAGGCTGGAAACAAACTCAGCCATCCTAATCCTTCTGCCTTGTTCTCCTGAGTGCTGGGATTACAGGCATGCACCACCACACCTGGCTTTTAAGATTAATATTTAAAACTAACCATGTCCTACAAAATGGTGAGACATCAGACAGCAGACAAAACACAACCCTGCCAAAGACAGAGAGGTATAATCCATAAATCAAAGTTTGAAAGTATCCAAGTTAAAGTCCAGTTACATGCATATTACTTCATAAAAACTACCTTTAAGTTTTATGTTCATAATGATGGTGGCAGCAGCAGTAACTATTAAGCTTCCCACACACACCTGACCTCAAAATCTATTTCATGGCATTACACAAACTAAGAACCAACTTGAATTTCCATACAACCTGTAAAATAGCAAAACAAAACACTTCATCAACCAGGAGTGGTAGCGCACACCTGTAATCCCAGCACTCAGGAGGCTGAGTCAGGAGGATCACTGGAAGTTCAAGGCCAACCTGGGCTACAAAGTGAGTTCAAAGCCAGCTGGAATTGCATAGCAAAGCCCTGTCTCAAAAAGACAAAACAAAACACCTCATCATCCCTATGCTTATATAATAAATACATCAAGTATAACCAAAAACAAACAAACAAAAAACATGTAGTTCAGTAGTCAACTATTAGCAGTACCTTTTAGATCTCTGGATAATAAGCTGACACACTGTAACCTCTACTTAAGAGCAGTTCGCTTTTTCTACTCTACTCAGGATATCCAACTCTGGTCCTCTATTCTCTGGCTCATCTCTTATTTCTCTATAATTTATGCCAAAACATTAAGTTTGTCTATTGAAAGAAATTTATTTTTTGGGAGAGGAAACAGGCTCTTAGTATGTGTAGTTTGATCTGGCCCTGAACTGACTACATAGGCCAGGCTGGCTTCAATCTTGCAACAGTCCTGCTGCTTTAGGCTGAGTGCTAGTGAAAAACATTTCTTGACAGCTGCATATCAACAGAGATACAATTCTCAAACTTAAACACAGTCAACTCTAAAACTCTGGACTACTTTCCCCTTCTCACAACATCTGTGCATATGCCACTCTTATGCTTCTAAGGCACTGAAAATGCCTCCCCTCCCCCCTGTCTGGCCCAGGGTAGTGTGCACAAATATAATCCCAGCACTCAGGAGGCTGAAGCAAGAGGATCATGGCAAGTTCACGACCAGCCTGGGCTACAAAGTGAGCTCTAAGCCAGCCTGAACTATACAGTTAGATCCTGTCTCAAAAATGTCTTCCCTAGAACTTCCCCCATTTAAACTCTTCCAACTACCAGTAAATTAAGCTCAGGTTCCAACTACTCTGTGTCCTCCTGCTAGTGTTGTCTCATAGGCCAGTTAAAGGCCAAAAACACTCGCTAATATCTTACCACTGACACAAAACAGTTAAGTCACAAAAAATAATTTTCTAGTATAACAAAACATCAGTAGTGTTTATAAACATTTCTTGAAGTATTGGAAGTTAAATACTGCTTGGTAAGTTCTTTACCTGAGTTACAAAGCTACATCCCCAGCCCTCATCAGTAGTGCTAAAGATGAAGTCTGCCTCATGTAACATTTATAGTCTAGTTCCTCTCAATTAGAAGAACCTCTTATAAACAAAAATATTCATGTTACCTGAAAATAGTGATACTATGGTTGAAATCTTTCACTGAATGGAATTATGCACAAGCAAAGACTAAAATGTCTTAATTTTACAAATAACATTAACCAAGAACACAATACATTGCTGTCACATATGTGCATCACTATTCATAATCTAGCACCAAATAGAAATCTTATATGACATTATCAAGAGTTTTCAAGTTGATTAACTGATAACTAAGAATTTGGAGAAAAAAAAAAAAAAGTATCAAACTAGGGGATGGGGAGACAGCTTGGCCTGGCAAGTGCAAGGACCCAGGTTTGATCCCCGGTACCGTAAAATGCTACACCAACCCCATGTCATGCCGTGTTGACTACTGAAACCAGGCCTGGTGGCTCACTCCTTTAATCTCAGCTCTGAGAAGCCTGAGACAGGAGGATCAATACAAGTCCCAGCTGCATAGTGTAACCCTGTACCAAAACTTATGTTTTTTAAATATCAAACTAGGGGGGCTGGACAGATGGCTCAGTGGTCTAAAGCACCTACTTGAAACAAGCTTGGCAAAGCACAGGGACTGCGGTTCGATCCCCAGCACCACATGCCAGCCAG